ATGCTTTGTTAGCTCCCATGAGAGGCCTGCCTGCCCCTTTCTGAAAGGAGACATAGGAGAAGTGGATGGGGTGTGGTACATGGGATATGAGGGGGAGGGGACAGGAAGAGGGAAGGGAAACTGTAGACAATATGTAAAATAAGTTAATTTTTTAATAAATAAGTAGAATCCTCCCATCTGAGTTTGAACCCAAGGATTCATATACTAAAATCCAAATGCATCCACCAGGGATATTATCTGATGGGCCTTAGCATGTCTTACACTACAGTCTTCCCAAAGAAATGTATATCTAGTTCTACCATCCTTGTTAGCTGGAATACAGCAGACCTACCTTTAGACATTGGCTTTAAATTCAGCTTGAGTCCTCCAAAGAAGGAAGGGGTCTCCATTCTCTGTGCTGCCCAGGTAGACAGAAAAGCTTGAGTGACTCAGAAGGCAAGGACAAGGGTAATTATGTAACTCGAGCTTGATTTTTCTGAGGCGAATTCTTGTCAAGTAACAGTGCATTGTCTGAGAGCAAAGACTAAAGTCGTGATTCTTGGAGTCTCTTTTCCCCAGTGAAAATAATTATTTTATTTCTGATCCCACACAAATAAGTCTCTGTTCTGAATTTCTTTGGCATGCTGCACTCATGGTTTTCTCAGAGAACTGGGATTTACAAAGTCTCTTCAGTGTAGGAGTGGGAGTACTGTGAAAAATCTCAAAAGCTAAAAAACTACTTTTGTGTGGGGCGGAGGGTAGTTAGGGAAAGTTGTGTTCCCATCACCAAAGGGTAGATTTAACTAATTCTCCACTATAGGCCATAGCTCTGATTACTAAACTTCTATGCTTAATACAGTTGTTAGGATAGATGGTAATTTAGAAATAACAGCTAGAATTTTACATATCTTTAAAAATAGTTAGAATTTCTGGCCTCCGTATGCGCGCGTGCGCGCGCGCGCGCACACACACACACACACACACACACACACACACACACACACGAAGAGCAGCCAGACCATGAAGGTTAACATTGCAGCTGTAGAGGTCCCATGGCTCCTGTTTTCAGTCTACACAAAATTCTAATTCTGTCCCAGTTAAAGAATGTCTGCTAAGTTACGAAATAATTGACAATAGGCATATGATGATCACAGAAGACTCGTGATGACGATGCCATTTTTCCATTAGTGAGCTAAAGACTATGTAACACCAATCAAAACATAAGCAAGAGGTTCCTGAAATGGTATATGAAACTAAAAGACCTTAGAATAACCTTAATAATGTTCTAACAACATTGGAGCAGGGAAGAAATTGGAGGACCTGAAGCTTCATAATTGGAAGCTGGAAGCGAAGCTAATGTCAGACCCTATATGACAAAAGCTATGGATTCAACCCCAGGAACAAAAAGGAAAGAAACTCATCTTAAAGTTACTAGAAATCCACAATGATCAAGACAGCCTGGTGGGGACATAAAGGTGACAGAGGTGTCAGGTCAATGGGTTAAAACCACAGCTCCAGAAATAGATCCAAGTGCATGGATCAGTTTCAGCAGAGACGTATAGTAATTCACCTGAGAAAGGCTAGTCCTCTCCCCAGAAGCGCTGCAACATTGATATTCCCGTGGGAAAGAGTGAGCATTGCCCCAGTCTTCACACCATGCCAAGGTGAGTCCACTGAGTTAATATACACATGTATGAACTAAAACTATAACATTCATAAGAAAACATGTGGGAAACTAAATTTTGAATTATCCAGGCTTTTCTGGTAAAACACAGAGAAGAGTCATAAAACCTAAAAGAAAATGAAATTGATTAATTGAACATCACCAAAAGTTTTAGACTGTGTTCATCAACTGACACTAAAGAAAATTAAAATTCAGGAGAAGATATAAATAAACCCTGTATCTAAGAAAGGTTTTAACTTCAGGTGGCATTTAAAAAAAAATCATTTACTCTTTTTACAAAAATCAGTAATCAGAAGACAAAATAGACATACAAGAGTCTGGGTGTTGTGGTACTCACATGCACTCAATCCAAGCACTCAGGAGGCTGAGACAAAAGGGTTTATGAATTCAAGGCCAGTGTGGGCTACATAGCAAGTTCAAAGCCAGCCTGGGGCTGAAAGAGGGACGTGGGGAGTGAAGAAAGGAGAAAACCATCAAGGCGGTTATCTCCCACATCATTTGTCCTTAAGGAAATAAAAGTGAAGGCCACATGAGGTCTTAACTAAGAAGGAAACGCTGGAAGTCCTATACTTTGCCTCTGCAAGTACATGATGGATCTGTGGCATACCTCTGTGCAAAGCAAGCTGGCAGTTTTTAGCAGCTACACACCCAGCAAAGCTTCCCACCTAAGCCACCTAAGAGAAAAAAAAAAAAAAAAAAAAAAACCAAAGTCCATATAAAAACTAACACAGCACTCTTGATACCTGTTCAAAACCAGAAACATGGCAGAGGGTTGACTCGGTGAATAAAGTGCTTGCCCCACAAGCCCGGAAACCTTAGTTTGATCCTCAGAACCCACAGTGGAGGAAGAGAACTGACCCCTAGAGGTTGTCCTCTGACTTCTACCTACAGCACCACAGTACACTCATGCCCACATTCAAGCACGCAATAATAATAATAAATCAAAGTTAAACTAGAGACAACCAAATGTCTATCAACTGGCGAGTGAACCAACAAAATACAGTGTATTTATACAATGAACCAGAACTCTGCAATTTAAAAGAACAAAGCAGAGGATATAGCTCAGGATGTAGCTGGGTGGTAGACCAATTGTTTAGCATATGTAAGGCCTGGGTTCAGTCAAAGTTAAAAAATAAATAAATAAGAGAGAGAGAGAGAGAGCAAAGAATTAATAAGCCACATTGGTGATATGTGTAACAAAGTGAATGGGTTTAAAATGAATTATACTAAGTGAGAAAGAAGCTAAACACAAAGGATTATATGATTTCATTTGTATAAATTTTTTAGAAAAAAAGCAAAACCACAGTGACAGCATTAAGTTAGCAGTCAGTCATCTAACCATGGGGTAGGGGTGGGTCTTAACCCAAAAGAAGGGTGAATGTCTCCTGAGGTGATGGTATGTTCCTACCTGACTGTTGGTGGCTGCATGGGGTATAAAAGTATGGCATATAAAACATAGCCCCAAAGTTGTTTTTAAATGATATTGAGAATAGTTAATATAATAGGCTAAATCCTACAGGCAAAAATAGGCAGGTGTGTACATGCTGTCCCTGGGCCCAGAGAGCTACTGTGGGCTAGAGGGAAGAAATGCTAGGTAGACTCCCAGTATGCTTTGAGGCCAGTTAGGTGGATGTGAAGAAAATGATGTATACTCAGTAGTTCTCAGTTAGCATCTGGAATATGGAACTGAATCACCTATTACATGAATTATTTGAGACACCAAAAAGATTTGGTATCCAAGACCCCCAGAATGTCACCTGGATCACAAAAGGATAGGACCTCCTTTCGCTGTGTACTTGTTTTTTATTGTAGCCATACTTTATGCTAGCAAAGGTAAGGCTTTGGGACTGCTCAATGGTTTAAATGTTTGGGTTAGCAGGACTTTTCCTAGCATGGTTTCTGAAAGCTGTTCCTAAGTAGGCTTTTAGATAAAGCCTACTTTATCCATCCATATTGATTATCTATCCATATTGATTGATAGATTCTACATCTAAGAAGCCAACCAGTCAAGAATCATAAATACTTAAGGGGAAATCTGAGACGGTTCTAAACAAGCACAAACTTTCTTCTGTCCTTACTCCCTAAGGATACAGTGCAGCAACTATTTACACAGTTCTTACATGACATTAATACTATACATCACCTAGGCAGAGGTTGGAGACTGTAGTTCAGCTGCTGGAGTGTTTTCCAGTGTGCACGAAGCCCAGCATTCGGCCCTGAGCCGTGCACAAACCAGGCATGGTGGTGCACACTTGTAATCCCAGCACTCAAGACTAGAGGCAAGAGGTCTGAGAAACGCAAGCCAAGGCGACCCCCTGCCACATAGCAAACCCAAGGCTACCTTGAGCTACACAAGATCTTGTCTCAAGAAGGAGGAGGAAGCATTGTTTGTCATCAAGTTAGGGTCTATAAGATTAAAAATGCATCATAGACATGAACAGTTTTTGCAGGAGGCCTCCTGACCCTACCACCAGAGGCATTTTCTTTGTGTCGTCTTTGAGAGGATGTCACACAGTGAGCACAAGGATCAGTACTTTCTCACTGCCCAATGACGAGTCCCACGAGCCCAGGGAGCAGGAGTGGCTGGGGACTGCTGCCACTGGGCAGAGCTGGGCAGCCCCACCCTACAGTGTGCAAGGGCCACATGCACATCCCATAGAGAGGTGATTTCAGTTTGCATTTAAAATGGAAACTATGCCCCAAGTGTGGATAGCCCAGAAGTGATTTGTGTATTTTAGCATAGAAATTATATGGGAAAGAGTATTCTTACATTTCTTGTTGTCATCTGTTTGTTTTCTTTAAAAGAAAAAAAAAGAGTTATGAAGAATCTGATAGCAGAAACAAAAACAGGCTATCGTCTGAGAATTTCAAGCTATTTTCTTTTTAATTCCAGGGCCCTCTACAAAAACAACAAATGCTCTTAACCACTGATCTTACCTCACATAAGGTCAAAAGACATGCTAAGATGGACCTCAGACTATCCATGTCTTCCATTGCCAAGGTGGCCACTTAACTCTCAAGAGCACTGAATGCTAAGAACCGTACAATTGTTCTTGTCTTATAATCAATGACTGGCATTAATTTTTGACTTACAGGCTTCATTCTGGTGAGCTTTGTGAACAGTAGGGAGGTTCCATAGCTTGTACTGAGCGGTGATAGCCGACTTGCCTGTCTTGCATCATGCTGAACCACCAGTGCACGTGACAGGACGTAGCTTGGATCTCCACGATGGAAGAACCCCCGCCCTCCTTGCAGCTTCTCCCTTGCTGTTTCTTTTCACTTCTCGCTTTGTGAAATATCCTGATGTGTGTTTTCTTGTCACTCTTCCCAACCTTAGGAGTTCTTTGATCACGTGAAGAAGCTGTGGGACGATGAGGGGGTGAAGGCCTGCTTTGAGAGATCCAACGAGTACCAGCTTATCGACTGTGCACAATAGTAAGTTGCTTCCCTGGGCAGGCCTCTGCCCCGCGCAGTTGCGGTCTTGGATATGCTGCCCTCCCTGTGGTCTGAGGTTTCCTAAAGCAGGGAGCAAGTGCAGCTTTTGACTCCAGTAGGTAATTTCCGAAAGAGGTGTGGTCAGTAACACTGTTCCACAGAACAATCAGAATAGCTTTCACCCACTTTGTCCTGACCCCACAGTTCTCCTCCTCTATTCATTCTACATAGACTTAACAGCAGCAATACTTGTTATTACAGCTTAACTTTGAAACAAGGCTCCCCAGATTAATTTTTTAACATCAAAATGTGTAGTACTGGAGAGATGGCTTGGTGGCTAAGAGCACTGGGAGCTTTTCCAGATGACCTAAGCTCAGCTCCCAGCACACACATGGCAGCTCACAACTGCCTGTAACACCAGCTCCAGAGGGTCTGGTGCCATTTTCTGGCCTCCTCAAGCACCTGCATGGACCTACATAGACACACACACACACACACACACACACACACCTAATTTCAAATAAAATAAAGCCTGTTTCTATTGGTTCCCTGGGCCTACTGCACTTTGGAATTTAGCATAATGCAGCTAATACTGGTCCCAGGCAGGTTCTTTCTCCTCCTTTTTCTGCTGTTTTGGAATGGTCTGGACTTGAACCAGCAGTGACTTTAGCATGTTCTGATTGGCTGATAGTGGAAATGGAAGTGGACCCTGATTATGAGACAGAAGAGAGAGCTGACCACGTAACTCTGCTCACACAACTGCCCTGTGGCCAGGGTACTGAGTCTCAACGATAGCTTTTCTCGCTCTGCTGTTTCCTGTGGGATCAATAAATTTGTGTTCCAAGGGAAATGATGCTATCATATTGTCTGAGATCAAACACAGACCAGAGTTGGATCTCACCCATAGATTCAGGGTAGTTTGCTTTGTGAAGAGGTTTAAACTATCTTCTCTGGAGCCTTTTGGAGCAAACAAGTGTGGTATGCACACCTTCAGTAGTGGCTTTCAAGTAATAGGACAGCAGCCATCAGTTTCCTTGCAAAGTAATAAAATGTGAATGTATAATCCCTGTGTTAAGGTCCCCCTTTGCTCCCTGAGATACCAAAGCAAGTAGTGATAGTAGCCTGGGACTCAGATTCAACCATACTGTTGTTCCGTCCATTTCATGACCAATAATGACATCAGTTACCCATTTAAATGCCTTCTGGGATTTGGAATAGTACAGCTCTCTAGTGTCACATTTAAGCATTTTAATGAGTTAGTTCTAAGTGCACTTGTCACTAGAAATTTTGCTGTGAAGGTCAAGCTCACAATAAGGCTATTGTTGTACAAGGAAAAATAAAATAATTGTTTTCAGAAGTGTGATCAAGGCCTGACTCCTAAAACATGTGGCCATCCTTGTGTTTATTAGAAGGTTGGAGGATCACAAGTTTGAGGTCTGCCTGCATTATATAACATCTGTTAACTCGCATGCAGAAAATGCCAGCACCTGAGATCCCTAGCATAGCTTGCACCGTGAAATTCACATTGGTTTGTACTGGAAGTTGGTATGTAGTATGCGTTTTGTCATCCCATGTCTGTGTCCCTGGAAACATGGTATTGCCACATAAGGCATTACTTTTTTTTTTTTTCTGTTTTTATGAGACAAGGTTTCTCTGTATCCCTGGCTATCCAGGAACTAGCTCTATAGACCAGGCTGGCCTCAAACCCACAGAGATCTGTCAGCCTCTGCCTCCCAAGTGCTGGAATTAAAGATGTGCACCACAACTGCCCAGGCAGAATTTAAAATGAAAATGTAACTCTTGTGTCAGTGGAGTGGAGAACAAATGACTTAGCTTCAAGTAGAATGTGCAAAAATAATTTCTTTTAAGTGACATGAGTTTGGCAGTGGGCAGACCAGGATTCCAATGCTGTAACAGCTCTGCCACCACCTCCTGGGTGAGAACAAAACAATGGCACCTAGTCCCATGGACTTGTGATAGGATAAATATGATAAGTAAGTTAGATACACACGGCCCTCAGAATAGTGCCTGGCATACAGTGGACTCCATGATAAGTATTATTCTTGCTAATATATAAATGATACCCTCAGGCCCAGAGAGGTAGACTGAGGCAGGCCAGAATCGGTCTCCCAATAATAGACATGACCACAGGAAGAGATTTTTTTTTTATTTCTTTCTTGACTTCTGTCCTTACAAACTACAGAAAGCCATGAATAAGAAGTACCTCATGAACCAGGGTTCTGGCCTCGGGCTTGTTAGGAATAAAACCTAACTTTTTTTAACCTCACACCTGGCCACCTTAGAGACTTGCGAACCTGACTCTTTCACAACTCCCCCTGCATCAGCATCTTAACCCATCTTACCATGTGAGGATCACACTGGCTCAATTTAGTCTCCTAACAATGGCCTTGCTTCACTTCTGTGCTCAGGTTCTGGGACTAAGGGAGCAGAGGAGCAGTTCTCTGCCTGTGGGTTGAGACCCCTGGGGGTGGGGGGAGTCAAATGACCCTTTCACAGGGGTCACCTAAGACCATTGGAAAACACAGATCTTTACAGTATGATTCATAACAGTAGCAAATTTACAGTTATGAAGTAGAAAAGAAAATAATTTTATAGTGGGGGGGGTGGCTCACCACAGCATGAGGAACTGTATTAAAAGGTCACACCCTCGGGAAGCTTGAGAATCACTGGAAGAGAAAGAAAAAAGTAACATTCCATAAATTTGTTACGCCAATATATAGCTGACAGAGTTTTTTAAGTTGTTAAGTAAATGTTAGAAAAATGTAAGCTGTGACCATCCCCCATTCCTGTCACTTCCTAAAAGAAAGGACACACAGGCATCACGTTAGGAGGAATGGGACCATGATGCTATGCTGTCTGTCCCCTCATGGGGCTTTGCCCTTCTCCAGGGAGTGGGTCCTGCTCATATTCATGTGCCTATGTCTCAGCTGGGCATTTCTTTTTTTTTTTTTTTTTTGGATTTTCATATTTTTTTATGCATATAGAGTATTTTTTATATAACAAAGTCCAATTAAATGAAAACAAACATTTATACACAATATTTGGGAATTTGGGCGTCGTTCTTTCCAAACTACTTCCTGCTGGTAAGGGGCGCTGTCTTGGGGGATTCGAAGAAGATTCAGATATCCTAGCTGTAGTCTGCAGGGCTGTTTTGTCCAGCTGTTTGGAATGTAGGATCAGCTTGTACTCTGTTTCAGGCGGTCTGGTGTGATCAAACCACATTAGTCTGGAAGGAATCCACATCTTTTCATTTTCTGTGGAAACAAAAATAGAAATACTTTTCCCCAGTAACTTGTTCTTCAACTTAAATTTTGGAGTCAAAGCGTTTTTTGTTTTTTTTATTATTATTTTACATGTCAATCCCAGTTCCCTCTCCCTCCCTCCCTCCCCCCAAGCCCTCTCTCCCTCCTTCCCTCCCTTTTGCCCTCTCTACCCTCTCCCATGCACTCTAAACACCCTCCCCTCCCAACCCCCCACCACAATACAATATGTAGGGGAATGCCATCCAGTTGGGGTCATGTAGATCTGACAGGTCCTGTGAAGTAGGGACTAGGGCTTCTCTCCTATCTCTAGAATAAGGTAGTTATCCCTCCATGGGGGATATGTTTGCAAAGTCCTTTTGTGCACCAGGGATACATCCTGGCTCCACTGTCTGAGGTCTCTTAGACTGCTCAGACCTTCTGGCTGAGACCCATATTCAGGGGGGTCCGAGTCAGACCCCTGTTGGCTTCCCACAGCTGGGCATTTCTGTGGGAAGGAAGCCTCTGGCAGTGATATTGCTGACAACATGGACATGCTCTGAGAAGCACGTCCTTAGATAGATAATTCTATCACTATACATACCACAGAGCATGCATGCTATGCGGACCTGGCAGCAGAGCTTCTGGACACCAGGCTATCGAGTAGACTGATAGAGGCACTTACAAATGTTTACCAGCCAGACTAATAGGCACACATATAAATGTTTACCAGCCAGACTGATAGACACACACATAAATGTTTACCAGCCAGATTGATGGACACACACATAAATGTTTACCAGCCAGACTGATAGACACATAAATGTTTACCAGCCAGATTGATAGACACACATATAAATGTTGCCCAGCCTACTCTTTCTAGAACTTTGATGAATAAAACAACAAAAGATTGAGCCAAACACAAAAAGGGAAAATTGATGCAGTCAAGAATCAAAAGCAGGGACTGGAAGATGGCTCGGAGGGTAAGAGTACTTCCTGCTATTCCAGAGACAGAAGTGTAGTTCCCTGCCCCCAGGCGGACCACAACCACCTGAAACCACAGATCCAGGGGCCCCAATGTCCTCTGATGGCCACACACACACACACAAAATCATCTTATTTAAAAAAAAAAAATCAGATGTGTAAGCAGCTGCTGTCCAAACCCAGCACACTAGGTCCACCCTTTTTTCCACAAGTAGGAGAGCCATACTCTGAAATCACAATAGGAAGTCCAGCATAGTAGATACTACACGGAGAGCACAGTCATTCCCTCACCTTGTCAGGTATGAGTTGCTGCATGTGAGTCATGGCTGTACTTTTATCTGACTGGCAGCTGAGTGTGTGGTACATGCAGGCATCGCTACAAGTGCTAAGAAATGCACTGGGCTGCATCCCAACAGCTGTAAAGATGGGAAGCAGGATCATCCCATTCCATGTAGTCTTAGAAACCACCGAAGCATATTTCAGTCCAGTGAATATGGAAGTTTCACATGCAACACAGGATTGTCACTGAATTAACAAAGCAAGAGCCCCACATTCCAAGTGCTACTGATTGGAGATACTGACCCTTGGCCCTTCACAAGTTCATACCACACCCTAGATTCACACACCTCAGCTTCCTCTTGCAGATCCCCGGGATCTTGATGTAGTTTCTTTTTTTTTTTTTTTTTTTTTTTTTCCTCATCTAGACTGCTAGGAGATCTGACTAATGTCTTGGGTGATTCTGAGTCATCGTGCTGT